CTGGGCTATATATATATCTCTAGCCTCGGTAGCTTTCTGTTCTTCTTGGCACAAGATCCAAATTCCTTTTTTTTTTTTTGATCAGTCATGGAGCTTGAACTCTGGGCCTGAACACTGTCCCTCAGCTCAAGATGAGAGCTCTACCACTTGAGCCACAGCGCCACTTCTGGTTCTCTGAGCCGTTTATTGGAGTTAAGAGTCTCATAGACTTTCCTGCCCAGGCTGGCTTTGAACCGCGATCCTCAGATCCTCCTGAGTACCTAGGATTGCAGGTGTGAGCCAATGGCGCCCGGCATAAGATCCAAATTCTTACGCTGCATGCTATGGATCCTGTCCACCAGTCTGATCTTGAAGCTAGCTTTTTGGCCGTCACAGGCCTCCTAGAAGCTGACTTTGACATCTCAGCTGAAGTGATCTCTTTGGACACCGCTTTCCCGAGCTTCCTGGCACCATCAGATTTCTCCACTAGAGGGCCCCCTCGCGCCACGCAGCGGCTTCCCCTTCAGAGCTGGGGGTTCTCGGCTTTTAGTGTTTCTCACTAGATGGACAGCTCCAGGGACTGTCTGCTGTGCCCTCCTCCATCTCATATTCCCAATATTTAACTCAAATATGGTTAAAACGAAAGAAACATGACTCTCAAGTCCATACCTTCACTCAGTCCCCTCTTCTGAGAAAGGTGTCTGCCGGCCACAGCATTTTTCCAAATTGCTCAGGACCCAAACTCGAAGCATCCTGAGTCAGTCACTTCTCTTTTTCTTACCTCTGGGTACCTAAAATAGCATCACAATGCATCAAGTCTAAATTCAAAACACATCCAAACGTCTTATTCAAACATCCTATGATTCCCAGTAGACAAATGTAAACCAATCTGAGTTATCTTCCTACTACTGACACTGTGAGTAACCTGATTTCTTTCCTTCTTATTTATTATTTTTGCTAGTCTTGGAGCTTGAGCTTAGGGTCTGGGAACTGTCCTGAGCTTCTCTGCTCAAGGTTAGCAATCTACCACTTGAGCCACAGCGCCACTTCTGGCTTTTTCTGTGTATATGGTACTGAGGAATCCAACCTAGGACTTCATGCTAGGCAAGCACTCTACCACTAGGCTACATTCCCAGCCCCAACCTGATTTCTTTAAAACTGAATTCATTCAGGTATCGGTGGCGCACACCTGTAATCCTACTACTCGAGAGGCTGAGATCTGAGGATCGCAGTGCAAAGCCAGGCTGGGTAGGACAGTCGGTGAGACTCATCTCCAATTAGCCACCAGAAAGCAGGAAGTGGAGCTGTGGCTCAAAGTGGTAGAGTACTAGCCTTGAGCAAAAAAAGATCAGCGACAGTGCCCAGGCCCAGGGACAGTTCAAGCCCCAGGACTCTTTCTTCCCCCCCAAAAAAAACTGAAAATAGAAAAAAAGAGAATCTGTAGATTACAAAACAAATATATCAAAAGCATAGTATGAAGGCAATTTGGAAATTTTAACTTGTCAGTAAGGAACTATTACATTTATTTATAATTCGTTTAGCCCAGGGGTCTTCAGCTTGAAATCCTCCTGCCTCTGCCACTTGAGTGCCAGGACTATCCGCATGCACAGCCTGACTATTGATTTTCAAGGCTTGATGAGTGACCACCCACTCAGTCTCTCACTTCAGCTCTGTGACTTATTATACCCATTTGAATCCTGATGATCAGCTAAGGTTAGGAACCTAGATGTGATCACAGAACAGATTTTTTTCCCCCGTGTGAAAAATTACTAGCTGAAAGTGTAATTTCATTCCATCGTCAAACACAAGCAAGGTAAAAACTCTTTAGAACTGGTTTGCTAGGGCAATCTCCTTAGCAATGAGAGAACCGGGAGTCAGATAAAGCAGAGCCTACAGGAAGGCCTTTCTCAGGCCTGCTGCAGAGCAGGGGTGGAATCCTGGCTGTGCAACCATTTCAGAGTCACCACAACATGTAGATGGTTAAGATCCACCTCAGGATGGGGGCTGAAGACACTGCGTGAAGACACTGACCACACCGACAAGCTATCGACATTTTCAACGCCATCTCTTCCCAGTGGCTAAGCAGAACAGAATACGTCCCAGCAAGGGTTTCACTCTAGTGTGTACAGGATGGGGCTTAGTCCAAACACTCAATTTCTGGAAGCAATCTAACATCTCCTACTCTGCTTTTTAAAAACGCCACAATCCATCTGTGCCCCACGCACATAAGCAGGTACCACGAGGCATAAGAGGACGGACGTTGTGAGCGGAGTGCGTGCGTAAGGAGGCTGAGACGCGGGAACGGAAGAATGCACGTGAAGACATTTAAAAGAGACTTCGGGTAGGAATAAGCTATTTTAATCAAGCAAAAAAAAAAAAAAACAAATTTGTGTTTGTTATTTCTAAAAATAAAATTAGACTCTTCCAACCCTTACCACATCTGCATTTCATAATATCTTCTGATCCAAATACAGATGTCAACGTGGCAAATGACAATATATCTTGTACGGCATACAGTATGTTCACTTGCTTACACTTACTTTAATTCTACTTGATCATTATATACTCGATGCAGACTTAGAACATCACTCGTAAGTTTCACAATTAACAAACAGACAAAAAAAAAAAATGTGACCAGGTTGTCTTAAAATGGCTCTGCTATAAATTGTATAGAATATACAGAATTACAAAGTCAAGTATTTATTTTTTATCAAAATATACACCCCTCCCTGAAACTAACACAAGCTATCGACATTTTAAATGAAGAATACAATTATAGAAAATATTTGCAAAATTATTTTTTTTTCATGTATAAATATTCTGCCATATTTACTTTGGTCTAGAATTATCAGCATACAAGTCCACTTAAAAAATATCCACATATAAGGGGTGTGAGACTCACTACATATAATAATTTCATATCTGTAGTTAAATCAAAAATAACTAAAATACGTATTTGATGATCCTAACGGAGATCAAACGAATTAGTGGATCACATTGTTTATTTGACATTCGGATGATCAAATGTGATTTTTCATAAGCCCTCTGTGACCATCTCCTTAACAAACCCAGGCAGGTTCTACGGGCATTACATATATACAACGTATACAGTTGAATTCGCTTGCATTTCCCCCACCTTTCTCTACTATATAATACTGCGTGTAAGTGAAGGTAGGTGAGCAGAAGATAAATGCGAGTACAATACTGGGGTTTACTTAACAGCCAAGTTCTACAGTATAAGGAGGTCAACTCGAATCGCGTCCTTCCTCTTCTGGGTCTCTCTTCGGTTTTCTGCCCACCTGGTTCCACAGTTTTCTGCACAGAGCAATCACATGATCACTGGGAGAAACCAAAGTCCTTTGTCCTTGGAGCGACTTCTGTGACGGCAACCTTCTGTCCTTGGGTGGCCTGGGTTTTTTTTTAAATTTTTCATCTATTGAATCCACAAATGTGAACAGCGCCAGCCGCCCCTGAACACCAAGTTCAGCTCATCTCGGCCATGGGGGGGGGGGGGGGAGGGGGGTTAGAGACGGATTCCCTCCTTCCTCTTCCTGCCGTTCTTGCGGGGAAAGAAGAATCTTGTGTTTCAGCTCTCCAGGAACTTAGTCCCTACGGCAGAGTCTCCGTAGGGCGATTCGAGTTTTTGAGCCGATATCCATCACGTGGGTCAGTAGGAGAGAGCGTCAGAAAACGTTAAATTTTTAAATTAACTGTAAATTTTTAATGAGGTATGGGGGGGGGGGGTTGGATGTCTGCAAATGTGAAGACAAAACATCTGGCTTTGTTGATATATTTCCGAGTCCCTGAAGTAGGGGGTGAGCGAACTCCCCGCCCGCTGAGGCCAGGAAGACTGTTATCAGCTCTCGTCTTGCTGTCCTTCTGTCTGTCCGAGATGCATGGGCTGCAAAATCTCCCAGAAGGCTTAGTGATGGCAGGGATAGGGCGGTGGCTTCCAACCGTCTGGGACTTCACCACCGCAGGGGTGTCTCACGCTATGGGAATGGGAGACATCAGGTTTATCTGAACCCTCGAGTCTGTCTGGAAGACTGCAGAAATTTTTGGAAGAACGGAACCCTTCTTTATTCTCTGAGGTGAGGCCACTGCCATGTATTATTCGGCCCAGGTAGGCCTAGGAAGGCTTTCTCCCATATGGAAGGCATGACCTAAGCTTTCTGTGATTTGAGTCGACCAAGTTCTCCTAACAGCCCGGCCCCACTTCGAGACAAAAAGCGTGGCCCCCCACCGGGAAGCACGGGTGCGCTCTGAAGTCACCCTTAAAGCGCGCGCTGTGGACTTGTACACCAGTTCTCATTGTTTGCAGATCTATTGCTCAGTATAAGTCTCTACAGTTAAGAGTCACAGAGATTAGTATTATGTATTTTACAAGGTTGGTGTGGCAGAAAAATACAGTTCAAGGTGATGGTGGATGTCCTACTTTAGGTTTACACATGACTCACACAGTCTCAGTGAAACTGCTAAGGGTCTCATAGGTATCCATTTCATTTCGACAGATTTCAATGCTGCAGAAGCTGGATGTTGGGATGAATTCTGTTGTAGCTCGTCTACCTATGTTAACGTACTTCGAGGAGGCCATCTTCACGTCTGACCCTTATTTTCTCCAGTGACTAAAGACAGTTTGGAAACCGGTCCCCGTCAGCGCTGGCTAGGTGTTAAATGAGGCTGAACTGGGCTGCTTCCCCCCCGGCCCGGCCGGCCCCAGGCCCCCGGCCCCGGCCCCGGCCCCCGGCCCCGGCCCCGGCTTTCCCCTCGGCTCGCTCGGGGATGCTGGAGGACTCGCTGCGGTCCCGACGCCCGAAATGAATGCTGACACCCGGAGTGGACGCGTAGGATCCTTTCTTCTGGAGTTTTCACCGACGAGACTTAAAAAAGGAAAGGAAAGAAAGGAAGGAAGGAAGGAAGGAAGGCCCTTTTTCACTCCTTCATGATGATTTACACGAACAGGACAGACACCCAAAAAAACCTAAGGGAAGCCCCGCGCGGCCGGCCGGGGCCCGGCTCCCTCAGGGCCCGCCGCCCGGCCCGGCCGGCCCGCCGTCCTCGGGGCCCGGGCCCTCGGCGCCGGGCTCGCCCGTCTTCTCGGGCTTGGCCGCGCCCTTGAACAGGTGCTTCTTCTGGTGCATGCCGAGCGCGGCGGCCGTCTTGCAGATCTTGGGGCACTGGAAGCAGGCGAAGCCCTTGCCGTCGTGCTCGCGCACGTGCCTGCGCTCGTGGTTGCGCTTGGTGGACAGGTAGAGGAAGCCCTGCAGGCAGAACTGGCAGTGGTAGCGCTTCTCGCCGGTGTGGATCCGCTCGTGGATCTTGAGGGTCTCGTTCAGGGTGAAGGCCTTGCCGCAGAACCGGCAGACGAACTCCTTGAGGCCCAGGTGGATGCGCGCGTGCTTCTGCAGGTTGCCCTGCATGGAGAAGCGGCGGCCGCAGGTCGGGCACGGGTAGGGCTTCTCGCCGGTGTGGCACCGCATGTGCATGCGCAGCGTGGACGGGCTCTGGAACTGCTTGGCGCACAGCTCGCAGGCGTGGGGCCGGGGCGCGGCGTGCTGGTGGGGCCGCCCGGGGCCGCCGCCCGCCGCCGCCGCCGCGCGGTCCCCGTTGCACAGCTCGCACTGCAGCTTGGGCATCTCCTTGGCCTCCTCCTCGTCCTCGTCCTCCTCCCCCCGGGAGGCCGGCCGCTCCGGAGCCGGCCTGGCCGGGGCGCGGTCCAGCTCGGCCGGGGACGCGCGGCCGCCGCCCGGGCTCTTGGGCCCGCGCTCCTTGCGCCAGTGCATCTTCCTCATCTTCCGCAGCTGCCGCGACTTCTTCTTGGGCTTGTAGTTGTAGTACGGGCGCCACGGCTTGTCGGTGGAGTCCTGGTCGCTGGCGTCCTCGAAGGCCTCGGCGGGCTCGGCGGGCTCGGCGGCGGGGCCGGGCCCCGGGGCGCCGTCCCCCGGCGCGGCGGGCTGGGCCCCGGGCCCCGGCGGCTCCGGCTCCGGCTCGGGCTCGGGGCGCGCGGCGTGCCGGGCCCTCCTCCCCCGCCGGTAGAACAGCGTGGAGCCCAGGATGCGCCTCTTCACCACGGCCTCGTTCCCGATCTTCACGGTGATCTGGCACAGCGGCGCCACGTCGCTGTCGGCCGAGGGCCCGGGCAGCGCGGGCTTGGCGATGTAGGTCTCGGTCTTGCCGGGCTTCCCGCCGGGGTCCGCGGCGGCTCTGCCCGCCGCCCCTCCGGGCTCCGCCGCGCCCTCGGGCTCCCCGGCCGCCGCCGGCCCCTCGCCGGCCGGCGCGGGTCTCCTCTTCTCCTTGGGGGCCTTGGGGCGGCCGGCCGGCCGGGCCGCCTTCTCGCCCTCGGCCTGGCCGTCGTCTCTCGGGGGCCGGCCGGCGGCGGGCTCGGCGGGCGGCGGCGCGGCGGCGCGGCCGCTGCCCACGGCGGCCACGGCCTTGCCGTGCACGATCACGGAGGAGAAGCGGCGGCCGTGCACGATGACCGACGGCGCCGAGCCCCCGTAGCTGATCACCGACGCCGCCTGGTCCGGCGCGTCGGGCCCCACGGCCTTCTCGGCGGAGGACACCGGGGCTTCGGCCGGGTAGAAGCCCGGGTCCAGGTCGGCCTTGGGCGGCTCTGCCCCCCAGCCGGGGCCCTCCGCCTTCTGTCTGTCGGTGGAGGTGGCGGTGTCCCGGCCCGCGGGCCTCCCCGGCGGGGCCAGGTCGGGGCAGGCGGCGAAGGCGCCGGCCCTGCCCGGGAAGCCGGGCGGCGGGGCCTCGGCGGGGCGCGCGCTCTGCGCGGCCGAGGGGCCGGGGCCCGCGGCCGGCGGCCGGGGGTCGGGCGCGCCGTCGAAGGGGGAGCCGCGGAAGCTCTTGAGCGGGGCCCGCTTGCACTTCATGGGCAGCAGCCTGTAGAGTTTGTACGGGTACACGGTGGGCTTCAGGCCGCCGTTGGCCGTCTTCTTGTTGATGGAGAGCCTGTGGTCGATGGCGTGGAAAGACTTCTGGTGGTTCTTCAGGATGTAGTAGGTCATGAAGGTCTCCAGACAGAAGATGCACTGGTAGCGCCGCTCCCCCGTGTGCCAGATCTCGTGCCGCGTCCTGTACTCGGCCAGCGCGAACACTTTGTTGCAGTAGTGGCAAGGGTACGTCCTCCTCCACGAGTGGACGTTGGCGTGCCTCCGGAGGCTGGACAGGGTCACGTAGCTCCGTTTGCACACCACGCAGCTGTACAGCATCTGCCCGTTGACGAACTTGACCATGTGGTCCGTGTCCGGCAGGGCGCCGCCGGCACCGGCCAGCTCACCGGTCCTGCGCTGGGGTAGCAAGGTTTCCGGGCTCGCGAAGGATCCCCCATTCTGTCCTATGGTGGGATACTTTTCTAAAAAACCGGGGTCTTCCCCAGCGGCGGGCAGCTGGCCGGACCTCATGCAGATGTGCTCGTGGCGGTCCAGCCTGTTGAGCGTGGTGAACTGCTTGTTGCAGTACCTGCACACGGGGAGCTCCCGGGTGGGCCTGTGGAGCTGCATGTGGGCGCTGAGCAGGGTGCTGCTGTCGAAGGACTGGGAACAGCAGCTGCAGCTGTAGATGAGCGGTGGAACCTCAGCGGCAGGTGGCCCAGCCCCGTCGGGGAAGGGACGCGCGGCGGCGGCGGCGGCGGCGGCGGCGGCGGCGGCGGCATCTTCGCGGGACGGAGGAACGTCTTCCTTGTCCGGGGACTTGGCCCGAGGGAGGGCTGCGGCGGGCTGCGGACTCCTCTCGCGGTCGGCCTGGGGGCTGGTTACTGGAGGGGCTGCGAGGTTTTCTGGGGTGGAGTCAGAATCCTGGGGTATGGAGAGTTTCTTTGGCTTTGGGCATGCGTTCGGCTGGGTGGCGGGGGCTTCGCCGCTCTCCCGGCCCGCCCTGTCCGGGGAGCCGCGGTCCTGCTCCCGCGCGGGCTGGCTCCGGTAGGGCTCAGGGATGGAGGACACGGCGTACGAGTGCTCGGCCAGCGTGCGGACGGGCTCCGCCTCGTGGCACACATCCGTGCGCTCCAGGCAGAGGCTGGCCGTCCTCATGGAGTCGGACATCTTTTTGAAGCTGGCCCTCAAGTCCAGCGGGGAAAACATGCTATTGCTGTTCTCCGTCTCGATGATGGAGAACGCATTGGTGATCCTCGGCCCGTTGGTGGCGGCCGGCTCTTCGGGCCGCCTCTCGTTCTTCTCCTCTTTCACGGTGCCCTTCTCGGTGATGCAGAACACGTAAGGGCTGGGGGAACTGGCGAAGCTGCGGTCGGTGAGGTCCTCCAGGAACGCGATGCCCAGCTTTCGCCCCGCGGCCGCCAGGTCCGTGACCGTCTCCTGTGTCCTGACCACCACCGTGGAGCTGTAGATGTAATTGAGGATTTCCGTGAACACCTCGGCCTTGAGGTCATCCAGCTCCAGGACGTGGCTGGAGATGCAGATGGTGTGACTCCAGAAGATGTTCTTGAAATACAGGCTGGAGGCGGCCAGGACATTGCTGTGGGCCTTGAACTTGGTGTCTTCCACGATGATGGTGACGTCACACAAGATGCCCCGGATGCGCTGCTCGTTCAGGATGGAGAGCACCGTGTCGCTGTGGACATCATCTTTGAGGTCCCTGGAGAGGGACATGACTGTCATCTGAAACGAGAGGAGAGACATGGTCAGCGGCCCTTCCGCCAGCAGCTTCCTCGTTTCTAGGCTATGGGTGATTCCGGAGGAGGTCTTTTCTCTGGGGTGTGGGGACGGGAATACTCGGGGTTTTTGTCTCATTCTGTTGTTGGTTCTTCCTGGGACTCGGAGTCAAACGTTAGAAGCTAAAACTGTCGTCCTCGCCCAGGGGCTGTGGCTCAAGGCTGCTGGAGTTGGAAAGGCTCCGGAATGCTTTCCCCTGCGCTCTCCAAAGCTGTGGCGAGGTACACAGGTCCAAACTCAGGGGTGGGGGGTTCTTGTCACCCCAATGGGAAGGGGAAGTCTCACCACTGCTCAGGGCTGCTGCTCGGAATCTAGAATTAAACGGCTCCTGGTCCTTCCATAAGCCTCCTGTTTGTATTCTACTTTTTCTCTCTCGTTTTGTCTTCGTTTCGTGGGGCCTTAGGGGTGGGAGCCAGGGCCTTGCACGCGCTAGGCAAGCCTCTACCAGGAACTGGCACCCCTCGCCCCTCCCGATTTTAACCAACGGCCCTGATGATCATACCCCAACATACAACGGAAGAGTCTTTTTTATTTATTTATTTATTTATTGTCGGTCATGGGGCCTGAACTCTGGGCCTGGGCGCTGTCCCTCAGCTCTTCAGCTCAAGGAGAACGTTCTACCACTTGAGCCACAGCAGCACTTCCGGTTTTCTGGGAGTTAATTAGAGATGAGAGTCTCATGGACTCTCCTGCCTGGGCTGGCTTTGAACTGCGATCCTCAGCTCTCGGCCTCCTGAGTAGCTAGGATGACAGGCGTGAGCCACCGGCGCCCAGCTTTAGAAGAGCAATTTTTACAAGTTTCCCTGAAGTGGTACGTCAGTGTGAGAAGCAGCTAGCACGGAAGGGGGCTGTCACTGGGGAGAGTCACAGTCTGTGTCAGGGACACCCTGCTGTCCGCGCTGGTGGCCCTGGAGGGGTCCGTCCCGTTCCAGGTCTGAAGCCGGAGCAGACTGGACTTTTCAAAAACAACTGTGTGAGGTGCTGAGGTGAGGGGAAAGGTGTGGGGAGGGGTTACACAGGTGGGTGCCTCATGGCAGCCAGGAAGGGGGAGGAGCAAGTGCTCTGTCTCTTTCCCCTGGTATTCCACCCCTGCACCCCGCGCCCCGGCTTGTGGGGGAGTGCAGCCCCCCTTCAGGGCAGCCTCCCCGTGTGGCAGCGGCTGCTCTCTGAAAGCAGACACTCCCAGATGTGATGTGTGCTTCGCTCACCTCTGAGGTACTGCTTTATCACTTCAGCTTGACAAGCTGAAACTGTACAACTGGCACATTCTTCACACACACACACACACACACACACACACACACATACACACACACACACACACGTACGCCTACCGCTGACTGGGAGACCGTGCTGTTCTTTCCAGACTGTGAGCCTGGGCCAGAATCCTAACTGACCCTCCAGTTTGGACAACCAAAGCCACGGCTTTCGAAAAACATGGCACCCAGCAACAGCCACAAAATGAACACCTGACCGTGTGTACCACCACTAATGGCTCCTCCCTGCGACCAAGAATGAAACCACCCATCGTCCACAGGACCGACAGACTTTCTGCTGTCCCGGGTGGACCGTCTCCAGAAAGCTACAGGTTCTGGTACACTAAAAACTGCCAGTGGTGCTTTCTCCCTAGCACCGGAGTACAGCCATTTAGCTTGAGGCGTTTATTCCGTTGGAAGGGCCAGAGGGTCACACAAAAGAACCTCTTTGTACCTTTTTCTAAAGTTGCTATTATAAACCAGCCCATTATGCTATTTAGCGTCTTTTATCCAAGCATCCGTCTGGTAAATTCTTGTATCATATTCAGGCACAGGGAAGAATTGCCTTTCTACTAACAAACCCTTCATTTCAGATCAAGAGAACGATGCATTCACTACATTTCCCTTTCAGCTCTGCAGACACGGAGTGGTGAATTAACTGTCACCAATTGTTGTGGCCGTTCATGGCCTGGTTCCTGGTGTGACTGTCTCTCGTTTTCTTTATCTTATGGTACAGTGGGTACTGAAATTTTTATCTCAATTCTATAAAAATATTTATTAAACAGTAGAAAGCGGTCTTCTTTGAGACCAATGCTGACCCTGCCCCCACATTTTGGGACAGGAGGGATGTCCGAACCCTGCCCTTCCCTGGGAAGCTTTAGCCCAGTTCAGTAACGGATTTCCCCTCTCTCCACTCGCACTGCTGGGGTGAGACCCGGATCCCACAGACACGTCTGTACCTCATCTTTCCCTTGAAAGGACACACGGGCAGACACTGAAGAGTCTTCTTCCTCACCCATTCTCAGGAGGTTTGTGATCAACCAACCAGAAGCAGGTCTAAGGGCTGACACTAAAAACCTAGGGCCACAGGGACCCTAAAACTGCCCTCAGAGGCTTGCAGGGACTTGAGGAAAATAGAATATATCCAGGAAACACTCCATCAGGCCTGCTGGGAGGGGTCGGGTGTGGGAGGGGCGTGGCTTAGGGAGTGGGCGGTTCCCTGCTTTACTGCTGGAGGTTGGTACTTTTCTAACAGCGGGATGGGTGGAACCCAACTTTGCAGACAGCAACAGAGGGAGAAAAGGGAATCCGGGCAGCGAGAAAGGCAAAGTTTCGGGCCCTGAAGGAGTTTATAATCTCGGAGCCAATACAGTGGCTTCAACTGAAGAATACAAACCGGCAAAGTGTCCAGGCACTGAATTCCATAAAAGATGCCGTTTAATGACTTAAAAAATGAATTAACATGCAACCAGTCCTACAGCGGGGTTTCACTGTGACATTTCCACACATGTAGACTATGTCTCCAACCAAACCTCCCCCATCATCTCCCGCTTCTTAGGGCAGTTTCAACAGGTTTCATTGTTCTATTTTCACAGGTGCACATAAACTACCTTGACCATCCGTCCTCCTCGCTGGCCCTCCCCCCCTTCCCCTGGCACCCCGCTCCCACCCCCACGAGAGCTGGCTGCGCTTTCCTGACATCCGTTTTCTTTTTCGGCATGCATTAACTGTACCAAGGGGCTTCACCATGGCGTTCCAGACATGCGTATGTCATGTGCCTTTTCTTTTCCGCTTTAAGAGCTACTGGAACGTTAAGACTCTTCACACACACACACACACACACACACACACACACACACACACACGCCTCTCTCGTCGAACCGCACACTGGTCCCAAATCACCAGGTGTTGCCGCCGATCTCTGAGGATGCTATACTCTGTGTCTCATGGCAGCTATACCCTACGTGTCTAATAAAAACCACACGTCATGTGTCTAATAAAAGCCCAAGTCCAGGAATCTGAAGCAAAGGGAGAAATGAGTTTAGTCTGCAGAACAGCTGTGGCTCCTACGGGTAACAGGGTATATGTAATCCCCAAAGGGGTTGTTTGAAATCATAGTTTTTTTTTTGCCGGTCCTGGGGCTTGAACTCAAGGCCTGGGCACTGTCATCAAGCCTCTCTGTGCTCACGGCTGGAGCTCTACCACTTGAGCCACGGCGCCACTTTCAGCCTTTTCTGTGTATGTGGTATTGAGGAATCGAAGCCAGGGCTTCATGCATGCAGGGCACGCACTCTACCACTAAGCTACCTTCTTGGCCTGAAACCATGTTTGAAGATCTGGCTAACAAAATGTTGAGCTCCCCTAATATTTGGAAATCAATGCATCATCTTGCAAACCAGAAAGACCCGGCACCACCGGGGTGGCCGCCTGTCTGGCAAGGACTGGCACGGAGTCGCTGTGCGCACTATGTGCACCGAGCACCAGCGGCGGTCTCTGGAGCACGGCGGGCAGCCCTCTGGCAAGCTCAGTAGGTGCCGCCGGCAAGGACAGGAAGTGAGGGGCCCTGGCCGGGAGCCCTCCTGGACCCACGGTTCAGCTCCCCAAATGAAAAGCAACGTGTCCTTCTCACTCAGACTGGTTTTCTTCTGTTCTAACATTCAAGCAACCTTCACTGCCACGTTTCTTCACAGAGTGACTTAAAACAGAAATCACAGGAGTTCCTGACCATGGAAAGCCCACATCAGATTAAAAGAAAAAGAAACCTAACTTTGAAAGGAGATTTAATTTACATGCTACTTTCTTGTTTTCTCAAAAGGAAGCTGTGTGCAGTAAGTTCACTATTCTTAGTAGTATTACCGAGCTGGGATAGAGCAGCATGGAAAAGACTAACAAAAATTTTCTAGACAAGAAAGAAGTTTAACGAGCTGGTAACTTGAAACACATAGGAGGCCTGGTTTCAGGTGCAGAACTGAGGATCGCGGTTCAAAGCCAGCCTAGGCAGGAAAGCCCGTGAGATTCTTATCTCCAGAAAACCAGAAGTGGAGCTGTGGTTCAAAGTGGTAGAGCACCAGCTCCAAGCAGAAGAGCTCAGGGACAGCCCGCAGGCCCTAAGTTCAAACTCTACAACCAACCAACAACAACCCACAATTACAGTTGCTAACCAGTAAGACCGTATTCGCAAGGATTCTTAAAGAATCGCTGTCTCCAAGAAATCATTTTATTTTATTCACTAGGGTAAGTTGTAGATAGGCCTAAAAGGACTAAAGAGAAAGCGAGTGCAAGTGTGGCAAAAACCCAAAGTGGGAATCCTGGAGAGGGAGTCTGACAAGAGAGCTGGTTAAGAAGAGACGGGCAGCCACGCCCACCACAGGACACACCCATATAACTGTCCTTCCTTTTCCAAGCCTGAAGCCATTACTATCTCCTGAGCTTGAGCTCGGGAAGGCGGGTGGAAAGCGGACACTGCCTGTGGTACTTGGGTAAGAGTCATTCTCCAGTTTGTACGGAGGCTAGCGCTGCTTCCGTCCTTGTTTTCTGGGTCTCAGGGCTACGCGCCCGGATGCCCAGCCGTTCCCCCACTCAGCCATCCACGCAGCCATCCTCTCCTCCTCCTCTGCCTCTGCCTCCCCAGGGCACTGCCGTTAGCTAGGCCCACAGTTCACGCTTTCTGGATCAGAACTGGAAAACAGG